GATCTTCTACCTTCATCATCATCTTTATTACAATCATCATCATCTTCATTACAATCATTTTCATCACCATTATCTTCATTGACGTCGTCTTCATCACAATCATCTTCATTACCATTATCCCTATTGGCATCAACTTCATTACAATTATCATCATCATCACCATTATCCCCATTAATATCATTCCCATTGCTATCTTTATTATCATCATTATCACTATCTTCACTAGATAGTATACCTTTTCAACCAAATAACACATATTTAATTCATGCTAATGTTTCTATTTAAAAATAGAAAATAAGGATCTTAAAAAAGAAATTCAACAATTAAAAGAAATGAAACGAAATTATATTGCTCTACAAGAAGAACTAGAAATATTTAAGAATCCTGACACTTCCCCATTGAAGCTAGTACTAAAGTACCCTGCACCACACTTATCATCTACTAATAAGGTTAAGGCTAGTGAAACTCCACAACCAAAAAAAAGAAAAATATTACTATTCACCCGACTTCTTACGAATGACGAATCATTAGAAGCTCTAAAGAAAGCAGATGAATTGGCAAAAAAGAAAGCTGAGGAAGCTAAACGAAGAAAAGAAGTTGCTGCTCAAAAAAAAGAAGTGGCTGCTCAAAAAAAAGAAGTGACTGCTCAAAAAAAAGCCAAGCATGAGTTAAAAAAGTTGGAAAAACAAGCAAATGATAAGAGAAAAAAAAATAAGATGCCCGAGAGCATTAGTAAGTGATATTATGTTACATTTGTGTAATGGTAACGGTTACGTTTTTGGTTAGGATAGGTGATATTTGGTTGAATAATCAATAGGGGCGATGCGCCAAATTACCTTCCAAATTTAAAATCTCACTTTTTTCGATAGTTTTAAACGAATAATAAAATGACTTACACTTTACTATAAAAGTTGTCTTTTTTTTATTTAATTAAAATACATGAGCGAAGGTATAAGTTCTATAAATTTTGTAAGCATTCGGCTTTTTTAAAAGGACATTTACTATTAGCAATTCTTAAGTGCGCCAAATTACCCTTATATATATATATATTTTTTTACAATAGGAATCCCTGTATAAGAGTATAAGAACATGTGATAGCTTTTAGACTTCTGGAATCGCCTATATATAGTACAATAGATGCAGATCAATTAAATCGCGATGTTACTTACCACAGATTGTTCGTCTTCTCCTGAAATAACAAGCAAATATTTTACGACCGAAAGTGCTTTTTCCAGTAAGCAAAATGTATTGACACTCGAGGAAAGGCGTCTAAAGAAGAAACGGATGCTTGCGTTAACACCTAAAAAAACTACTGTTACAAATTCATCCTTGTCGGATTATTCAGTACATAATCAACTTAGTAATAATAGTAATAAGGTAACGCCAACAATTACTATGATTGTTTCGGATAATGAAGAAAACACAACACAAAATATTCCCGAGCAAATTGACGTGAACAAAGTGTCCAACACAAACAGCTTTGACTTTCAGCTTATGAAATTGGATTCATTTAGTTCTGATAATTCGTTCAGTTCGGATTATTCTTATGAAAATAACAATCTGCAATCTATTCAGCAAACATCGGTTAACAAAAATAACATTTTGCCAACTAGCAAAAAACCATCAACAAAGTCAAATCGTCGTGCTAAGGATGATCTTTCACAGCCTTGCCTGTGTGTTATATGTGGTAAAGACCTTACAGGTTTTAATATTGTTACGCGGGAAACACATTTAAATAGGTGTCTTGACGATATTGAAAAGCAAGAGAATGAAAAGCAAAAAGGCATTAGGACAAATCAGCATAAGCAAGTAAAAAAACCTGTTTCATCTTCGGGTGATAGAATGTTTATTGATAATGATTGCTCGTGGTTCTCTCTTGTTACAAATTGCCCATGTTGTTTAAAAAGTTTTCCGGGTAAAAGCAAGACTGCGAAAAGTAAAATCACGCACATGAAAAGATGTGGCGATAAGCAAAAATTTTCTGCAACAAAAATACTTTCTTTATTGAAAGAGATGAAACAAAAACTAGTTAATACATTTGTACCTGTTATGGCAGAGAATTCTGCGGTACGTGTTAAAGACACACAATTAACTGATTATTTTACCTCGGTGCCAAAAAAAGAGGACATCGTTACAACAAAACCAACAGCGATTGTTTCACAAACATATTCAGTTTCAGCACTCGAGGGAACAGATCAGGATGATGATTTCAAAAGTAATGTTATTATTACGTCGATTTCAACAGTTGAGACAATCGGAAAAAGGAAATTCAGAGAAGACACCGATGATGACTTTAGAGTTGCAAAAGTTTTGTCAAAATCCATGTTGCCTCAATATATAAATCAAAAAAAGAAAATTGTGTATGATCTTGGCACTACACCGATTCTTGCACCGGCTGAAAGTATAAAAAGGGCGCAAAAGAGAGCTAAGAAAATGTTTTTCGACAGACCTACTATTCATGACATTGCTAAAAGTTACCCGCTTACATCTTCATCCTCATTCTGCACCAGCGGGGTTGTGAAGCAACGTGAATGCCGTCAATTCATGAAATCAGAAAATGAGAATGGAAATGGTATTGCTCGAAAGAAATCGACGTCTTTGTGGGAAATACAAGCAATTGGCGGACCTGATAGTCAATTGTCAGATGATGATTATATGACTGATATGTTAAAAGAATGGGTCTTCAAATATGAGGCGAGCATTTTATAAATATGAATCAGTTTATTATTATTTAATCATTATATAGCACACCTAATATACATTCTATTTATAGCCACATAAATTGGATCAATATTATTTACAACCTTTTAGAAAGCGATATGAAATGTGTGATCGTTGTGTAAACAAATATTGGGGAAGATTACAACCCGAAAATGAAGAAAGAGATGAAATGATTGAAAGGAGTTACTATTTTTGTCGCTAAGTTTTCTTCCTTTATACGTTTCTTATATGGGCTTGGCCATGAACAATTATAATTTAAAAAGTTGTCTTGTGCCACCCCAGGTGGTAAATTATTTTTGCCACCTTAATGATTATCCAATCAGATTACAGAATTAAGAAATTCTATTTTTACACGGATTTTACATGTAGTGTTTGTAGTCGCTCATTATTTATCGACTTGACTAAGTCGATATTTAAAAATAGGCTTAGCAGGCTAAGTCATAGTCGATCATTTCGAAATTATCGGATATTTTCCTCAAATTTTTGCTCGTTCGTTGATTTTCTTTTCAGAATTTTCGGGATGGGTACTGGTTTCCGAATTTACTTATTTCTGCAAGGGATACAAATCACGTGCCAATAGGGAAAATTCGTTTGTTGTTATTTCGCTAAAAGCACGTGAAATTTTGACCGGCTTAAGGGTTAACGTTAGGGTTAAGGTTGGTATAAGGAACGTTGTATAGTAAAATTTGGCCAGGAATTTTTTTATTATTTTGAGTTACCGGCGATGTTTTGAACATGCCTTCGATTTCACGTTACACAAAGATTGCACCTGATCTTGCGATCTACATATAAAAATTTCCTTTTTGGATTTGTATCACTTGCAGAAATCCTGTTTTCCAGTTCCCACAATAACGTAATTTGGCATATTGTGGCACATTCGGATAAGCTTTTTTGGTTTTATGTTAATAGGCCTTGAAAGATTGTTTTCATATGTAAAATTATGGTTTCGACATTTTTTGCATTTTTTGTTAGTACCCAAAGGCCGATTTAACACTAGTTTTTGAGTGTTGATGTCGGATTGATCCGGGACGATCAAAATTTACGCATCACGATTGGTCATTTTTCATGCGCCACATTATATTACTGCAAAAGTGTTTAGGCTTCTGGTAGGTTTTGTAAACTAGCATATAGTGTTTTTAATTGGTAAAAATTTTGTTAATTGATTAGTTACCAACTATAGTTGCAACTAATTGATTTTTTATATCAGGTAACTAAATTTGCTAATTAGCCAATTAAACTGAAGAAATCAATATGAATTAGCCTAATTAAACAGAATATTTTAGAATTGAACTAGTTGATAATTAAATCAATTAGTTTTAAATTTTTTAAATCTAGTTGATTTTTAACTAAATGATTTGGATTATTATTAGTTTTAATTAACAAGAAATAATATAGATTTTTTAATTTACAAATCAGATTTTGAGGATTAGATGTAATATAATATAATTAAAAATTTTAAACCAAATGTTTGTTTTGTTAAAAATGATTTATTTATAAAATGAAAATATTTTTTTTAATTTATTAAAAATTTTTAAAAGCTAATTGGAATCAATTAAAATTTAAGAATTTTAAATGATTTTTATTAATATTATCAATTAATAAAAGTAGATTTTTATTAATTATAATTAATAATAAATAAAAAATATTATTGTAATTTTAATTGATTTAGATTAATTATTTTAAATTGTTTTTAATTAATTTTTTGTATATATCAGGAAAGTTATATATATAGATATATATCGATTACTAACCAACCAGATATATAGCGATAGTAATCACCCCTGCCGAGT